AGTTGTTGCAGTGTTGATTTCAGCTATACAGTCGCAGTATGGGTACACCGTCTCCTATAAAAAAGCTTGGTTGGCAAAACAAAATGCCATTGTCAAACTTCATGGCGAATGGGATGCATCTTACAACGAACTTCCAGGTTGGTTTAGGCTGGTGCGGACGTTGAATCATGGGACAATTGTGGACTTCGAACCCTCTTATGCATACCATAATGATCGAGTTCTTCGCGATCGATGCCAATTCTACCAGGTTTTTTGGAGTTACCCACAATGCGTTAATGCTGCCAAATACTGCAAGCCTGTGGTCCAGATCGACGGGGCTTTCTTATATGGAAAATACAAGCAAGTTTTATTATTGGCAGTTGTCCAAGATGGCAATCGCAACATTCTTCCAGTTGCTTTTGCTCTTGTCGAAGGAGAAGATACAGATTCTTGGGCTTTTTTTCTCCGAAATTTACGTGCACATGTTATCACGAGGGAAAAAATTATGTCATTTTAGATCGCGGAGCTGGGATCAAAGCAGCAATGGAGTCTTTGGGTCCAGTGTGGCAACCACCCTTTGTCCAACATATGTATTGTCTCCGACACATTGTTGCGAACTATTATGGAAGGTACAAGAAGAATGATGAGCGTCAATTAATTGTGCGCATAGGTAAGTGAAAGCAAGTTAGTAAGTTATACATTTTTTGATCAGGTTACGAACTACTTCCTCGAACGTTTGAATCAATGCTTCAAGATTTGCGGGCGAAGAACGAGGAAGGTTACGAATACATCAGCCTAATCGATAAGTGTCGATATGGACGTGTGAGGCAATCAATTCAACCTTAAAGGTGCACGTCACTTACCTATAGCGGCTTTGGTAAAAACTATATATTTTTGTTTGGGGGCGCTTTTTGCGAAGCTGGGGGGACAAGCTCAAACCTGGATGCAAGACGGTCATGTCTATCACCCTAGATTAGTTGCAGATCTACATAAAAAAATTGCTGCATCAAATGGAATGTCTGTAACAAGCTTCTCTAGAAGGCATGAAATGTTTCGTGTCACAGAGTTGCCCCGACCTCTTCAAGGGATTGAAGATGTGTCGCTAAGAGTAAATCTAAGGGACAGAGCGTGCGACTGCGGGTTTTTTCAAGCTCTGAAGTATCCATGCTCTCATGTGATAGCAGCTTGCTCGCATACACGTCAAGACTATAACCATTTTGTGGATCTCGTATACCTACTATCTGAAGTTTTTAAGGTATATGAATTTGAGTTTCCCCCATAGGTAATGATAAAGACCCTGATGAGGTTCAAGATTGGCTTCCGATTGTACCAAATCCGAGTTTATTGAGGGAGCGTGGTCGTCCAAAATCCAATCGAATTCATTGCGATATGGATATTTGAGAAATATCTAGACAAGACAGAAGATGTGGTCATTGTAGAAACCCATGACACACTAGAAAAACATGTCCACTTCTGTTGTCATCAAGTAACAGTTGATGAGGAAATGATGTATTTGTTTATCAAATAATAATTCTTGTATTTTAATTTGCATTTACTTCAAGTTAATACCATTCGATAATCGCTGATGAAGATTAAAAAAATGAACACAATTATTAAATTTTATCAAACTAATAACAATTTGATATTTAAATACAACAAACTTACAATAAGAATAAAATGGTAAATGATAACCAAATTACAATAACTGATACTAAATGGTAATAAACCAAATTAACTAAAATATATTAAAAAAAGTCCAACAAATTTAACAAAATAAAGTAAGTATTAAATGAGAAATAATAAAAAATTACAATTAAACAAAAAATCTATCGATGCCTACGTTGCGAATGTGTTCCGCATGGCGATGGCTGTCGGTCTCGAGGAGGATTTCTTCGTATCACTGGTTCTGACTCCTCGCTGTCATCATCATCGTCATCGTCACCATTGTCATCGTCGTCATCGTCATCGTCGTCGTCCTGAGCAGGTACATCAGGTTGATAAGGAGCTGATGACGATGAAGTACCTCCATAGAATAAGGACCCTGGAGGTGTATGACTGACTATCCCACCGGCATATGAAAACTGGGAAAACTGGGAAAACCCAGACATCGCTGAGTGTGAAAACTGTACAGGAGGTGTCTGTGCTGCGGCCATGGGTGATGAGGATGAACCCGCCAAATATCTAGCATATGAACCCCAAGTCAGATCTGCAAACATAGAACCATAATAGCCTCCAGGAGGGGTCATCTGTGACGGTGGTGGTGGCCGGGTCATAAAACCAGGTGAAGGCGGCGGCGGTGGCATCTGGTAATGGAAAGGCGATGGCGGCATCATATATGGTTGTGGCATCATATATGGCTGCGGTGGCTGTTGGGAAGGTCATGCTGGTGCAGCTGAGGATGAACCGGAAACACCTACTCTCCATCCACTAGTCGAGGGACGATGGTGCTGTGTCGGTGAGCGTCTCTGTCAACGTCGTGGAAAGGTCTGCCCTCGTGCATCCTCGGGAAGTAGAAACGTTTCCCGTTACTGTTGAACCACTCATAATAATCCTCAGCATACATCAAAAGGTCATAAATGAGCTCTTATGGGGAAGGCGCCGATGTCGATCCTCCCACAACACGACCCACCCATGATGCCTCACCAGCCAATCTGTATCTGTCTTGCCGCGTCTATCTAAGCTATGCAACTCGTCCAAATTGCGAGGTGCTTCCGGAATTGGTTGAAAACAACCAAACTGCCGGAGCACGCGATCAGTGGAGTGCCACTCGACGATCGCATAACAGATCAGAGGGACCATCGCCATCTAAACATCTGATGGACCCCTCAACTCAGGTGGGATTACCGCCCTCACATCATCAGTAGAATATGACACCCATTCAAACTAAAAAAAATAATATATAATTTTTATCAAAATAATAATCTAATTATATAACTATATTCTAAAATCAATTTTAAACATTAAAATTCATACCTGTGTGCCAGTCTTCTGATCGATTAACACCCTAATTTTTTCTAAATCATCAGGTAGCTCCTGATGATTTTTCCTATCAGTAGACCACCTATTCAGGAAAAAAATTGTTATACGATGTATAAAATTATTAATATACAAAATCATGTTTATAATTACCTCAGAAGTAGTGGAAATACTAATGGTTCTTCACAACTGGACATAAAAAGGGCAATCGATACCATGCCCAAGACTGCAGCAGAAGGAGACATCCGCCGATAGCATTACGCCTGTAGTCAGTGGCTCCACACATCTCCTTGTACAACAAAGCCAAAACTGCCGAGCCCCAACTGAATGATCCGACGAGATGAAAGTCGCTAAGATGTCGCAACCACATACAGTGAACTAGGTTACGCGATTTGTCTGGCATCAACAACCCTCCTATCAGCTGCAGTATGCATGCCCGTGCATACATCTTAACCTCATCCTCAGAGGCATCTGCGCTCAACTCCCGAAAATTGGCATCTAACCAATTTAACGGTATCCTACCTCCAATAAAATTTTCTGGGACACGTCCTAGACTATCCCGACACAAAGTAGTCCAAGAACCGGAAGCTATCATCAATATCACATCTCCATCCACCGGAAGCCCCAGGTGCATAGAAACATCCTCAAGCGTGATCGTGCACTCTCCGCACGGAAGATGGAATGTGTGGGTCTCCGGCCTCCACCGCTCTACTAAGGCAGAAATCAGGTCTGGCTCTATCTTACAATGACTCTGATATCTACTTATGTAACCGAATCCAGCCTCTACTAAATACGGCAAGACACGGCTGAGTATCACTAACTTAAGATTCCTAATAAAAGGATCTAATACACGGTCATTCTCCTAAAAATAAATAATTACAAAAATTAATTCTTAATCTAATAATCATGCATTAAATGAATCAACTAATTATTACTAATAATTTAAATTAAATTAAAACGTTAAAATGTTACCGTATCAATAAAGTGTCGAGATATTTAATTCTTAATCTAATAATCATGCATTAAATAAATCAACTAAATATTACTAATAATTTAAATTAAATTAAAACGTTAAAATGTTACCGTATTAGCAAAGTGTAGAGATATATGATTTCTATCTAAACAAAGTAGATTGACTTCCATTATATATCTGCACAAGAATTATTAATAAAATATTAATAAATAAAAACATAATAATAAAAATATAAAATACATTAAAAAGAGAGAATTTGAGAGAAATTTAGAGAATTTGAGAGAATTTGATGTGATAAAAGTGATTGAGGATGGAGTATTATAGGGAGATGGGGACGTGAAGGGTTGTGTATTTAGGGGTATAGTGCGCCCCCTGCACCGCGCTATACCCCACGTGTCAGATATCAGGTATAGTGCGGATCAGGGGGCGCGCTATACCCACGTGACGCCAGATCACCGTATATCGCGGGGCAGGGGCGCGCTATACCATGTGGCGCCAAATCAGCATATAGCGCGATTCAAGGGGTGTACTTTCCTGCTAAGGATGTTAGATCGAAAATAATCTAACCGGTATTAGATTGACAATAATACCGGTGATATGAAAATCGCCTCCAAATGTGGGCGTGACAAGTCAAGACTGTGGAGTCGAGGACAACACCTTTCCTGGTTTTCTGGTCAATCATGTGATGTGTGGGACATAAGTGGTCAAACGTCCACCTCAGCCCCTTTCTTCAACGTGCAAAATCAAAGCCACCTCAATTGTACACATATTGCATTTATGTGTACAAATTTCAGGTCCGTTGTAGATGAAAGAATGAAGCAATATCCCCGTTGATCGACCGAACTGGGAAGCTACGGTCGACCTTCTTCATAAATGTTTGCCTCTAGTTTTTACTATCAAGAATACTTTTGGAATTCTTTATTTCATTTTTTCAATAACTTTATGGATTGTGAAGCACTGTATCTTCTCTCTAAAACGCAAAATTTCTGGTTTTTGTCATCTAATCTGGCTCTGCTTCTCCCACTTAGGCGGTTCACTCCCTTATTTTCCTTCTAATAGTTTTCCCCTTCCAATGGCTGATGAAGTTATGGATCTTATGAAGAACCTAAAGTTCACTGATGCTGAAGCAACGGTGGTGGAAACTCCTCTTATGCAGGAATATCAGGTGAGGGATGAGATGGATACGTGGATTCTGGCAAAGCTGTTATCTCCTAAACCGGTTGTAGGTGACACGGTGATTAAAGCTTTTAAAGCAATTTGGGGTGCAAAAAAGCTTGTGGAGACGAGCTGCTTAAAGCCGAATATCTTCCTCTTCAAGTTTGTTGTTGCGGAGGATAAAGATAATATTCTTAGGCGTACTCCCTGGATCTTTAACGGATATTTTAGCGGTAATTTGATTAAACTGACATCCTTTAATTGAATATCTCTTTTTAGCACTATTTATTCTATATTTTTTGAATTTACACTCTTTTGGTTGAGGTGTTGAAAGGCCAGGAATGTGTTTTATCTGATTTTACATTGAATTGAATACCACGTGTGCAAGGCGTATCCCTAGAGATGCACTTTACTTAATTTTGTTGATTCAGTTGTCACGTGGTATTTTTTTTAATAATAAAAGTTTTATTTTTATTGTTATTATAAATTAGTAATATATTATGTAAATTGTTTCAGTTATAATTTAATAATTATCGAATGTATTTTTTTAATGTGTGTTAAAGGTGTAGTGTATTATCCACATTAATCGGATAGAACAACAGATGAAAACTAATTTTTATTTTATTGTAGTTATATGAAAAATGTATAAAATTATTATATTACACGTATTGTTATATTATTATTTTGATTATCGATCTATTAATTTTATTACTTAATTATTTAAATATTATTAATATAGTCATCTATTATTATTATTTAACCAAAATATTGATGCATAAGTTAATAAAATTAGTATAATTACACATTTAATTTGTTATTATTATTATACATCGAGAAATTATAGAAAATGCAATTACATTTAAATATTTGAAACAAAAACATTCATTTAAATAAAATATTAGGTTACATAAGGGTTAACGGTTATGTGATGATAATAGAGATGTACATTTTTTTTATTGTGTCTGATGTTTCTACAATGCCCACATCGTTTTTGTTCTGTTGACTTCTCCCGAATATCCATATCACAATGTATTCTAGTAGATTTTGGACGACCTGAATCCCTCAATAGCAATGGATCTGGTACAATTCTAAGCCAAGTTTGAATCTCATCTGGGTCTCTTTCGTTTCCTATGGGCGAAAACTCAAATTCATATACCTTGAATACTTGTGAAAGTTGGTATACGAGATCAACATAATTTTTGTAGTCCAAATGCGAATGTGAGCAAGCTGCAATGACATGAGAGCATGAATATTTGAGTGCTTGAAAGAAACCACAATCGCACCACCTCTCATGCAGATTAACTCTGAAAGAGTTAGCTTCAATCCCTTACAACGGAGGTGGCATTTCGGTTACACGAAACAATTCACGGGTGCGAGAAAAATTTATAACCAACATCCCATTTTGATGCAGCCATTTTTTTCTGTAAATCAGCTACTAGTCTTGGGTGGTAAATATGACCGTTTTGCATCCAAGTAAGAGCTTGTCCACCGAGCTTTGCAAAGAGTTGACCCAAACGAAAATAAATCGTTTTGACCAATGCCGTGACTGGTAAATGACGCGCCCCCTTTAAGGTTGAATTTATTGCTTCACCCAAGTTTGTTGTCATATGACCATAGCGATACCTCCCGTCATACGCATTTGTCCACATTTCTTTGCTGATGTCCAGAATGTACTCGCACCCCTTTTTATTTTTGCCAAACAACTCTTGCAGCATCGACTCAAACCTTTGAGGTAAGAGTTCGTAGCCTAAGCCATTAGGAATATGTAATAGTTAATATGAAGTATAAATAAGTAATACAAAAATGATAGAAAAATTGGGGAAAAGTAACATACCCATCCGCACGACTAATTGGCGTTCATCGCTCTTCTTGTATTTTCCGTAATAGTTTGCAGCAATATAACAGGCACAATAACAATGTTGAACATGTGGAGGTCTATACATTGTATCCAAAGAGTCCATTGCTGCTTTTATCCCGGCTCCTCGGTCTGAAATAATGCATACTCTTTCCCTGGTGACAACATGTAAATGTAATTTTTTAAGGAAAAAAACCCAAGACTCAGTGTCTTATCCTTGAACGAGGGCAAACGTAGCAGGAAGAATATTGCGGTTTCCATCTTGGATCACAGCCAATAATAAAACTTGCTTGTATTTTTCATACAAGAAAGTACCATCAATTTGGACAACTGGTTTACAGTACTTGACTACATTAATACACTGAAGGTAAGTCTAAAAGACACGGTAGAATTGACAGCGATCACGAACCACTCGATCATTCACGTAATGATGTTGAGTTTCAAACTCAACAATTGTCTCGGGATTGAGTCTTTGCACAACATAAAACTGAAATATAAATCAGATGTGCATTTAAGACATTTAATAAAACACGTGACATCCAACTTAACGTAAAATCAGATAAAACGCGTCCCCGGGATACGTCTTTCGTCACCTCAATCGAAAGGGTGACACTTCAAAAAATATAAAACAAACAATGCTAAAAAAAGATATTCAATTAAAGGAAGAAAATGTTCAGTTTGATTAAATCGTCTTTTTTTTCCCTATGTCAGTATGATCCTTTCTTGGGTATTGAGGAATACGATTTCTCTCCTCTAAAAACCCGGCTGAGGGTTTTTGGGTTGCCTCTGGGTTTGATGAATCAAGAGATGGGAGAAAAAGTTGGCAACACCATCGGTGAAATCGTTGCTGTCGACCTTAGGAAAGGAGAATGACGACTTGGAGATTACCTAAGGATACAGGTAAAATTTGATAGCACTCTCCCTCTTATTCGATGCGTTAATACGGGCTTTAAGATTGATGGACGACCTCGTATTTGTCTCATTAAGTATGAACGTCTCCCCAAATTTTGTCACAACTGTGGGATAACAGGGCATTCTCTATCAGACTGTTCTGCCTATTCTCCTGATCAGAATGAACCTCCTCAATATGGAGATTGGCGAAGAGTTGAAAAAGCTAAGAACGCAGATGGATTTAAAGGTCCAAAAAAAGGGGGGGCTTATCTACTTAGATCAAGGATCATCCTCCCGCCCAAGAGACCAGGTTTCAAAAACTGGCATTTTGAGGAAAGATAAACAAGTCGTGGCAATGCTTGAAGATGGGACCCACAGTGACCAATCCAAGTGCATAGCAGAACGAAATGATAAAGAAGGTTCATTGAGGATTGGAAACATGGTTGAAAGCGGGCAGGAGAAAGTTAATGATTCTGATGAACAAGTGAATCAACCTTTGAGTGATTTGGCTGCTATTGCGGCTGCTAATAGTGGAAAACGGAAGATCGGGGTCATGCAAGTTAGTAAGAAGAAAATCAAGAGATCCGTCTCTGGGAAAGATGAAGACTCTAACTCAATTATCCCGAAACTGGACTCTGAGGGAGAAAGCAAGGCTGAGGGTCATTGTGACCATGGAAAAAACCTGAACCCAGCGGTGGAGGCTGCTATGCAGCCCCGCCGAGAGCCATGATTATCTTCTGCTGGAATTGTCGCTGGCTTGAAAACCCAGTAACAGTTCGGGAGCTTAAGAGATTCGTCTCTAAAAAGGACCCTTTTGTTTTCTTAAGTGAAACGCGCCTTCGGAAAAATAAATCGGAGAAAATCCGAATCAGGTTGGGAATGTTCGGTTGTTTTGCTGTTGATAGGAGTGAGGATTGACTGGTTTACTCATGTTGTGGAAGGAAGATGTTAGTGTTTCTCTGCTTGGATTCTCAATTCTCACATTGATGCAGAAATCGTTTGGAATCAATTTCATTTCCTATTTACAGGTTTTTACGGCTGGAGTGATAGAGCTAGGAAACGTTATAATTGGAGACTCCTTGAACAACTTAAGAACAAGTCGAGCCTGCCTTGGATTGTGGGTAGCGATTTTAACGAGATTTTCCTCTCAAATGAAAAGCAAGGAGGAAGACGGAGATCTAATACATATATGGAAGATTTTAGACAAGCTCTTCATTCGTGCGATTTGAAGCCTTCTAAGGGATGGTTTACATGGTCGTACGGTAGACATGCCTCTAAACATACGAGGAAAAGAATTGATAGGTTCGTGGCGAACTCAAGGTGGCTCCAACTTTTTAACAATTTCAGCGTTTTAACGGAGTATTCTACTATTTCCGATCATGCTGGACTGCTGCTTAATTCTCAAGGCAGTGGGGATTCAAGCAGCTCATTTAAACGGGGCGATTACTTTAAATTTGATGCGTGCTGGGCTAAAGAAGATAATTGTGGTGCGTTGGTCAAGGAGGTTTGATCGAATTTGTCAGGAAAAATTATTGTAGTGGGTTCGAGACTCTCTATTTGGCAAAGGAAACGTAAGCGTGATGCTAACAGAAATGAGGTGGAATTAAGGGCTCGGATCAGCCAGCTTGAAGCTTCTCCTATCAACGACGTTTTTGTGGAAAATCTTATGGTTGCTAAAGAATAGTTGCGTGATCTTATTAACAAAGATGAGGTTTATTGGATGCAACAATCAAGGGTGGCGTGGCTGCAAAACGGAGATAGAAATTCAAAGTTTTTTCACGCTAGAGCCAACGGAAGAAAAAAAAGAATCTGATTAAAGGGCTGGTTGATGATAATGGTTGCTGGGTTGATCAAACGGCGGACATCTTTAATGTTGCCACCAGTTATTTCTCCACTCTTGTCCGGTCGTCCAATGCTGAACCAGCTGAAGCAATCCTCAACGCCATCTCTTCATGTATTTCACTGGAGGACAATTCTAAACTGTGTGCCAAGTTCACCTCCGAGGAAGTGCTGAGAGCCTTCCCCCAAATCAATCCTTCCAAAGCCACTGGAATTGATGGTCTTCCAGGTAGTTTTTTTCGCTCCTTTTGGAATGTTGCTGGCAATGATGTAGTGTCTCTTTGTCTCGACCTTCTTAATGGTCGTTCTTCTTTTGAGATTGTTAATCAAACTGTCATTGTACTCATTCCGAAAACGGATTCTCCCCAATCAATGAAAAATTTTAGACCGATTAGCTTATGCACGATCATCTATAAGGTGGTGTCTAAGGCTATTGTTAATAGTTTAAAACATGTCATGCCTTGTTGTATCTCCCCTAACCAATGCACCTTTGTTTCGGGTAGACGTATTTAGGATAATTTTTTAGTCTCCCACGAAATGTTTCACTACCTTAAAAGTTCTGATAATGGTCATAACAAATGAGCAACTATTAAATTGGATATGGAAAAAGCATACAATAGGGTCGAGTCGTCTTTTGCTAAATGTGTTATGCAACGTATGGGATTCGATGACAAATTTATTTATCTTATTATGAGGTGTATTTGTTATGTTACTTATTGTATTCACATCAATGGACTACTCTCGGATTCGTTCAAACCGGAGAGAGGGCTTCGACAAGGTGACCCCTATCTCCATATATCTTTCTCTTTTGTGTGCAGGGGCTTTCGGCATTGCTTTTTTTGGCTCAAAAGAATGGTACAATTAAAGGGGTTAGAGCAAGCGTCTGAGGTCCAAGAGTTAATCATCTCTTCTATGCGAAAGATTGCCTTTTATTTATCAGGAATTCCCCAGCTGAAGCAAGGAGACTTAAGGAAATTCTGAACATGTATGAGCAGTCCTCAGGACAGAAGATTAACTTCGATAAATCAATCATATACTTCAGCCCGAACACCTTACTTGAACACGGTCGGAGAATCATTGAAGAATTTCAGGTTTTGGAGAAAGAGGATCCGAGTATTTATCTTGGTTTTCACTCATTATAGGGAGAAACAAAACAAATGCTTTCGGGTTCATCAAAGATAAAACAATGAAGAGAATCCAAGGGTGGACGAAGAACATGCTTTCCTATGGAGGGCGCGAGGCGTTCCTTAAATCGGTCATTCAAGCTCTACCTACGTACGTTATGTCATGCTATTTGTTACCGGATGGAGTTGTTGACTCTATTACTTCTCAGATTCGAGCTTATTGGTGGTCTGGGAAGCAAGACCAAAGAGGATGGGCTCATGTTTCGTGGGACAAGGTCTGCCGAGCAAAGAGGGATGGTGGTATGGGATTTAGGGACCTTAAATCCTTCAATTTCGCTATGTTGGGGAATCAGGAGTGGAAGTTTATTCAAGATCCTAATTCGTTGCTTTATCGTGTCTTCAAGGCTAAGCTCAAGTTTTGTCGAAGCTCAGGCTATAAAGCTTCTTACGCTTGGTCAAGTCTCTTCAAGGCGAAAGAGGTTCTTAAAGATGGAATGTTTTGGAGGATTGGTTCCCAAGGAGCAGCCCAAATTTTCCTTGACTGTTGGGGCAAATCAGCATCGGTTCAGCTATCTTCGAGCTACGTTGATAATGTAGAGTCTCCGTTTAGATGCAAGTATTTCATGTCAATCAATTAAGCATGTTGGGAGGAAGCGAAAGTTAGAACGGTTTTCTCTAATGATGATGCTTACAGAGTTCTTAATACGATGATCTCCCCAACCTCTGAAGATAGACTTATTTGGGAGCATCATAGTACGGGTTGCTATTCTACGAAGTCTGGTTACAATTGGATCTTAATGAAGAAAGGTACTGCTAGAAATAGGGAGAAGGTTTGGAGAATTCTCCCAAAGCTGTCCACCCTCCCTAAGATCAAAGTCTTTGGCTGGACATGCTGCCATGATGCTCTCCCTACGGCTGAAAAACTTTTGAATGCAGGTTTAGCTAATGGGACGTGCCCCCCCTGCAACTCGGATTTGGAGACAACCATTCATGCTCTAAAAAATTGCCCCAAGTCGCAGGTCACACTTGCTCTTTCAGGATTGTCAATGTCAATCATTGATTTGCAAGGCTCCTCGTGCATTGAATGGCTGCCTCAATTCTCGATCTTGAAGGCTTTTCAAGTCTTGTGGTGCTGCTGTGGAGTATTTGGAATTGTCGGAATAGGTGGGTTCATAATAAGGAATGGACGGAGGATAGAGATGTTAACGCCGCTTGGAATCTTGCCTCAGAATTTAAAGAAGTGAATTCGAGGGCTGTTGTGATAGCGGGTAGGACCCTTGTTGCGGGATCTCTTGGATGGGGACCGGCCAACTAATGGAACAATCAAAATTAATGTTGATGGGCACTTTCATTGCATAATCCTTTCTGGCAAAATAAGGATTTAAGGTTGTGAATGTAAAAAAGTAGCACTAACATAGCTGCTCACTCGTTGGCAAAATGGGCACTTTCATTGCATAATCCTTTCTGGTTCTCCTATGATGAACCAAATTGCATTAAAAACGATGTATTGTTGGATGCCATTGGAATATAATTGAATCTTCCCTTCAAAAAGAATATTCCTTGTAAAATATTTTTTTAAAGTTTGATATTTGTAATTTCTTCTTAGGAAATGTTGTACACTTAAGACTTTCTGTTTGGTGAACGAGTAGCCCATTGAATTATTATATGGTACGTTATCGGCAGGTAGGCTTGAAGATAAGAATAAATGTTATATTTATTTATTTTAAAAATTTAAAATAATATGAATATATTTATTATTATTTCAATATTGTTTATAAAATTATTTTTTATTAAATAATAATCCATAAGTAATTTTAAAGTTATATAACGTTAGTTATTAAAATATTAGGATTTATAATACTACAAATTTTAAATACAATTATTTTATTAGAACAGAGAAGATAACGTGAGTATTTTAATAGGCATATAGCCCATCTTCTTCCTATGGACCTATGTGACAATGACTCCCTTGTCCAACAAAGCGATGAGTAAATCAAATACAACTATTCTTTGTCCCCTGTAGGGCAATTTACTTTTGTTCACATTTATTTATCTATTTTTCATTAAATTTCCTTCCTTCCTAAGAAAAAAAAAACGAAATAGTTTAATCTAATCACAGTTTTATCGAATCATTTATGAACTGTTTATTTGTTAATACATTATTTGCCTCTTATTTTCATAGTGAATTCTTAAAGGGGTTTTCAATTTCTTCATAGACTTTCAGAAATTAATATTCTTTCGCATTAAAATTTTATCTCATATTTTATTAAAAAATTATAAGTAATTCACAGAATAATTTATATATAAATATATAAAAGAAGAAGCAAGATAATATTTTTTTCTTCTAAATTATTGGTGAAATGAGGCTAAGGAACCCAAAACAAAGAAGAAAAGGAAAATTGTTTATAATTCAAAAAGTCAATCCTTTGTTTATAATTGTAACAATGATTTTCAGTTTGACAAAAATAGGCAGTGAAATAGAAGACAAGAGATTTATAGTGAACTGTTTGTTCCATATTATGCAATTAAAGTCTATGTTTCATACGATGAAGACATATATAAAAACAACCATGTGAAGGATGGGTTGAAGCAAGCTTTCGATTATCACCATCAATGGAGCATTTAGGTTCACAATCGCAGGCTCCGGCTGAACTAAGCCTGTCGCACGACAAGCACTTCGCTTTGCATGGCGAAATTTGGCTACTTATCGTCATTCTTACTTTTGCTCTCTTCTTTGCTTACATTCTCTTTTGTCCTCGCCCTAGATGCCGTAGAAGCTCAGAGTCCGAAGAAGATGCTTCGGACTCTGATAATGTTCCATGGCAGAGGACCAGTAGTTTGGTGTCTTCGAGGGGTCAGAGCGTGATCGGCGTTGAGGGTAAAGCTGAAGACGAGGGGGAAGAGGGTAAAGCTGAAGACGAGGGGGAAGAAGAAGATTATCCGAGTAGAATCAATGGGAAATTTCCTTTGTGAAGAGTAAGTTCCTTATTTTCTCAAGTTATGTACCATTGTCGTAATCATCAGATTTATATAAAAACCAGAGATTGACGAATCTCAATCGTGTAATTCTCGAATGATAATCTTCAACACTCGGAGTTCTTTTTGTCGCATGCATGTGGTTTTTCCAACTTAACCGGAGTTTTGATTCTCAGGTTCAAGATTAAAATTTCCTTCTAATTGTTTCTAGGTTATATTTTAGTTTTGGTCCCTCTACTTTGCTTAATTTAAGTCCTTATACTGTTTTCAATGTTATTAATCAATCTAAATAGTTAAATTATAAATATTATTAATTAATCATTAATCACATGTTACTCTAGTAGAATGAAACACTAGATTCTTTAAATAATAACTAAAGTTCAAATCCCGACATTGTCAATAAAACAAGTTGAGTTTGAAAGATTGTCCCCTAATAAACCTCTACAATATTTAATTCGAATTAATCAACCGATATGAATACAAAATTTTATACCAACAAAAATGATGATGTATTTTTTAAAAAAAATAGAAAATACCCTTTTCATCGGACTGGCATTTATTTATTAAGTGCGTCAGAAATAGATTTTTGAAGAAAATTCCACATCAATATTTGATCGAAAATAATATAACATGAACTAACTTATAATATTATGAAAATTGATTATCAGATTATGCCAAGTTGATGAATAAAGAAAAACTCTCAATTTTGAGGAAAAATTATTAGGGTCACTTTACTCACCACCTCATCCATGGTCTCAAGTAATAATACATCTTTCCTATGTGTAAATAAAAGCGGATATTATTTAAAATTTTTTAAAATTGATGAATGTGATTAACTGGGACCATGGATAACGTGGTGAGCTGAGACCATAAAATAATTTCTCAAAGTTTGAGTATAATAAAAGGACTAAGATCATATTTTCACCCTATTTCAACTAGCATCATCAACAGGATGTAAAGAACGAAAAAATAAAACAATAAATTAATGGATGATAATTAAGCCTCAAACGTTGTCATCACAATCATACTTGGAACTTCAATGCCATCAGTAGAATCAAAATATTTCAAGTGTTTTAATGTCGTGCCAAGTTACAACATTTTTTTCATAGTAAATTGTCAGGAAAATAAGCATTAAACAATGCTTGTGCAGCTTACAAGTTTTACACAGATTCTTAAATCAGAAAATGAGACTGCTGATTAATATCGACGTTAAGGTAACCGTAAGGTTGTCATCAAGCTCGGTGCTAATCGGAAGGGACTCCACCAGGGCTGAGGCAAGAGACACAATCAAGAAACCTAAAACCATCCCCCAACTCTTTTGAATATATCCGAAGTAGGAAAAGTAATACATATACCTGTTACATTTTTGCTTGGCATTTAATACGAATGCTCCATCGTGTTGATACTTAACATTGAAAGAGAAAATCGACACAAAACTTACCCTATAGAAGACAAAAAACCAGCTGTGGCCATTGCAACACTACCAGCTATGGACTTGTTCCTGTTGTGAGGAAGTTTCTGTTTACCGAATCGCCTTCCTACAACATCTGCGAAACCTGTACAGATAAAAATAACTATGACAAAGTTTTGCACTTTTCATGATTGAATAGAATCATAGAAATTCAAGATAAACCATCCCATTCAGTGTTTTTAAGCACTTGAAAAGTTCATCTCAAGTGGTTGTGAGTCGAGCTAAATCAAGACAGAAAAAAAGGACGAAAGAGATAAATTAATTAACAGTTACCATCGCCGGCACAAAGGTTACATATTGCAGCAATTCCAATAGGTGAATTCCTCCAGTATACCGCACAAGCCAAAGTAACCGTTATAGCATAATAAAGGGGTCCTTTAAGAAGTTCCCTGATGTAGCGAGTAAGTTAAGGTCAAGTTGAAGAAGTCCTAAAAATTGATAAATAATATATGAATCCAATAAAGACTCAATTTCATTTTCAGATGATCAAATAACAAGAACTCTCAAGGAAAAACTTCACATATACAATTTGATGCATTAGTTTGGCTGAAAGAAAACACCCAACAAGATAAAACTGCTAGCAAGTAAGAAAACTACTGATATTCATAACATAGACATCAAGTTTTCGATTTCAAACGAACCTGTAGTCTCCATGTCTGCTCATTGACTTCACAGTGGCTTCATCTTTCCATATTCCAGAACCTATAAGAAGCATCCGTACAATATTGACACCAGGAGTAATAGCTGCTAAAGTTGCTCCACGAAATCCCGGACTGTAATGATAAGTATTAGCTATTTTTCAAGGCCATACATGGCAAACAATTTAGTGTGTATTGCTAAGGATACTACCTGAATAATGGCCAGCAAAGCATGAAAACTAGACCGATGCTTATATGCACAAGCTTCCGATTCAGTTTCTGAACAACAAAACAAAGAAGTCCTTCACAAAAGAATGAATTATATCACATCCTAGCATAGATGGCCGTAGGAAATCACATCGCTGTTTCACTGTTATTTTCCATTTAAATCACATCGCTATCCAGAACCAAAAGTCAGTAGGAAATCATAAGCTTTACTAAATCGAGGGCAATTGTCCTTAAAAACTAGAATTTTAGATGGATGAATTATATCAAACTTCGTTTTAGATCCAGTGACAATTCTATAAAAATAGTCAAGGGAAGGAAATCAAGCCAAGTATAGATGTCAATAACACCATGTTTGGGCAAACCAGAAACTAATGGAGTCATCCAAGGACCAAAATCTAAACTTGGGAATTTTTTAGCGATATAACTGACCTGATCTACGCCTCGTCTGGCAGTCTCTTTCCAGAGTAAGAGAAAAGCGAATATAACGGCGCAGCAAACCATGGCGGCGAACAAGTCAGCCGCCAGCGAGTTTTCAGATAGCATTATTAACCGCAACAGATAATATCTCCCTTGACCTTTAGCCAAAATGAAAGAATTCTACATACTAAACTTCAAGAGAAAAATATATCTATAGATATAAATTTTTTAATAATTATTATATATTTTAAAAAAGTATTATCTATAACAACTAACGACACTACTTAAAAAATGAAAAAAAAAGAGTATAATTTTCGCCGATGGATCTGTATAAATCTAGTAAAATATTAATAAATGAAAAAAAAACCTCGTAAGCTGCCAAACATTTTGGACTACGGAGAGAGTTATCCAAGTCAGCATTTGCCAATTGAAAACGAAATGTTTTCAGCACGAAATCATGACGAAGATAATGAAAAGATGCGGACGGAATTTTAACCTGGTCAAACAGAGAGGCGATTGGCGGTCTCCTCCCAGACCCGGAGGACAGATAGAGCGAGGGAGCTGGAAAATAAGACGGCGCAAGTGTCGAACATTACTGGATTTTGAGAAATTTCACTACGGCAGCCGGAGGCCTTGGTTCTCTGCGAAGTTTTCAGGGGTCTATTGACCGAAAAGTGAAACGATTAGTAAATTTGGGTCTCTTAGACTGTTATCGCCGGCTAACGGGCTAAGATGTTAGAAATAAGGATGTGTTTGGTTGGTCCGTTTGGTAATGTCATTCTCGGTAATCTTATATTACTAATAGTTAAGTTTTTGGGTATATTACTGACGTGTTAGACTAAAATGTCCTTAAAAAAATTTCTTTCAAAATTAACCTTATTCTGTCATTGAATAATAAATTTTTTTCGAAAGTTAAATTACAAATTTATCCTTAAACTATTTTAGATTTACAAAAAAAACTATAATTAAAATTTTATATGAAGTTCAGGGGTTAAAATAAAATTTTACCCTTTCATTAAACCTTTTGATAGAGGTTTATCTTAGGTATATGGTGATTGCCTCTTGATTTTTGTGGTCAAGAGGCGAGAGTTTTAGGTGATTATATTTTTTGTAATGATGTTTATCCCCGTTTGAGGGTATTTCGTGTTTTCTTATGTAATGGGTGTTTCATTCAATAAAATATGAGGTACTCTTTTCTTCCTTCCAATGTTCGTTAACGTACTTCTTAGTATGTGGACGAATACAAAGGAGTTTTTAATGAGACCTCCAACTTCTATAAAAAAATTTAAACCTTTTTATATTTTCAATTTTGTAAAAAATATATATATAAATTTTATGAATTTAAATTTTTTAAAGAAAATATATAAATATTTCTCAACTTATTAAAAAAACAAATATATAATAAGGACAATTTGATCAAATATATATTCCAATAATCTTTTATTCCTTTAACCAAACACGGTAATCTTATATTCCTGCTAAACGAACCAAACACAAAATACAACATTCCCAGTAATTCAATTCCCTGGTAATCTTTTATTCTCATTAGTAATCTTACATTCCGTGAACCAAACGCACCTTAAGGGTAAACTACACGGGAGACCACTTAACTATGGTCAAAATTAATTTGACCACCGAAGCTTCAATTGAATCAATCCGACCACCCAACTATTTAAATGTTTCAATCAAGCCATCGGCCGTTAATTTTTAACAGAGATGGTGACGTGTCTGTTAAAACATTTTGGTATAATTCACAATTGATCCTTATAACTTGTATATTCTTTCAATTTGATCTTAATTTTAATAAATTAAAATAAATTTAAACATCGAATCAGGAGGTGTCATGTGTCATTGAACCAATATATTTTACTCTAAAAATATATATTTTATCTTTATCATCAGTTAAAATATATTTTTCAAAATACCTTAACTTACAATTTATTTTAATTTATTAAAATTAGGATCAAATTGAAAGAATATATAAGTTATAGGGATCAATTATGAATTATACCAAAATATTTTAACGGACACATCACCACCTCTGTTAAAAATTAACAGTCGGTGACTTGATTGAAACATTTAAATAGTTGGGTGATTTGATTGATTCAATTGAAACTTCAGTGGTCATTGGTTTTTGACCATAGTTTAGTGGTCTCCCGTGTAGTTTACCCTAGAAATAAACTGCTCTAAAATAATATAGGGTAAAATATATCAATAGTCCTCGGTCTATAGAATAGGTTTTTCTTGTGTCCTTTAATTATAAAAAAATAGAAAATTATGTCGATTTAAAAAAAGGGTAAATTATAAGAGTGACCACTTAACTATTGTCTCCTTTTATTTTGACCATCAATGTTTCAATTTCATTAGTCAAACCATCCAATTATTTAAATGTTTCAATTAAATCACTAGTCATTAATTTGTAAAGGAAGAGGTGACGTGGTAATTAAAATATTGGTATATTTACACATTTGGTCCTTAATATTTACACATTTTATTAATTTAATTTTAATTTTAATTCAATTACATAAATATTATCTCCAATTAGTTTGTGACACGTGTCACTGCCTAACTTGAGAATATTTTATTAATTATTATTTATTTAATCCATTGTTTTTTCATCAACAAAGTGATGACACATGTTACCATTACTTCAGACAAAAAAATAAATGGAAAAGGCAAGACTTAAACTTGAGACACAAGAATTAGACTGCATACGCTTAAACCACTTAGCTAAGAACCTCAATTACTTAAAAAATACAATATTTAAATAGCTATATAGACTGATTGATGAAATTGAAATCAGTGGTCAAAATGAAAGACAATATTGGTCCTTTGAGTATTGATATTATATTTGTTTACCGGAATCTGAACACATTTGAAAATACAATGTAGTATCGGTATTGCCATGAGAGTATTGATATCTCTCTTACCTTTGGTATCGATATTGCAAGAACAATATCAATATTGTTCATACGGTATTGATATTGTAAGAACAATATCGATACTACTTACCTAGAAAAATTGTTTTGTGTTCAACTTCAAGTTTTATGAACTTCGAATTATTTTTAAAACTTTGAATAAATTCAATCGAGTTAAAAATCTATGTAAGTTAAGTTATTGTTAGAAGGATTTGAACCTGTGTAAGTTAAGTTAAAAATCTAGATTTTGTGTTTCCTATTTTTCAAATTTACAAAACAATTTTAATGAAAACACCGATATCAATTTTTTTATGTTTTCATATTTTCAATTATTTATGTTTTTATTTTCTAAAAATTATTTTCTAATTTTACAACCAAATACATTTTTTTTAACGTTTTCCATTTTCTAAGAGAATGAAAATAAAAATATCACGTATTTCTTATAACCAAATGGATGACTGTGGTTAAACACGAGTTCACTTGTTGCAAGGTTTTACTAAGCTAAATACTTGTTAGACACGAATCTTTTACAAGTCAGTAGGTCTATAAACGAACCAAATGAACACGAATGAATGTTATGTTAATGCTCGTTCATTTAACTTTAACCAATCAAACAAATGAACACAACAACTAAATAAACAAATTTTTTTGTTGATGTTCGATCATTAAGAAATTTAGCATGTCCGTGCGCATACATATTTGTTCGTTAAAATGATAAACGAACATAAACAAACGAACGTAAATGAACACAAACGAACGAACGTAAACAAATACAAACGAACGATTACAAACGAACGTAAACAAACATAAAATTGATTGAGTTTACATTTGAGAAGAGTTTTTTTTTCTTTTCAAATAACCTTAGTTTGTGAGAATTTTTTTATTTGGGTTTAAAATTAATTGGATTTAAAATATTAATGGATTTAAGGTTAAAATTTATTAAGTCTCAATATTTCAAACATGTTTAGAGATTGCACCGAATAAACAAATTAACTTAAACAAGCATAAATAAACGGATTATCGAACGCTCCCAAACGAATAAACTCTTTGTTCGTGTTCTTTCATTTAATTAAACGAATATAAAATTTTATTCACGTTCGTTTGTTTACACGCCAACAAGCCAGGTTGGGCTACAAACCATCTTTTATTTGAAAGTGTAAGAACTACTCGAGGTTTTATCAAATTGTAACTATAGTGGTGAATGGGGAACGAAGTTTCAGTCTCAGTTTGGAATGACTACCGGCGACAAAGCTCGAAATCGAAAGGTCATTACTCGAGGATTTACTAGGGCAGATCGTGGTAGTCGTCGTGATTGCGCATATGCGTGAAGTGTGTAGGCTTTCATTGCTCACGCACATTGCCCAATTTGGATTTACACGATTGGTTTTGTTGGATATTACATTATAAACAACAGGTTGCTTTGGGGCATTATGGAACTCGAGCAACAAGTTGGTCCAACAAAGAAAATTAGTGATGATTCAAAATTATTTTTTTTTTAAAAATAAACATATATTAATAATATAAATTTTTTTATATGTGAGTGAATATAAATAAAATCGTAAAGTGAGTATAATCAATAAAAATAAATAACTAAAAGAAAATTCTAATTTTTAAGACATATACTTGTCTATCCTAACATGAGTATTTCGAAACCCGGAAACGTGGCCATCACAAGTATAAAAATTGCAAAGATTCTCACAAAATCCTTGATTTAACAATGCAGGGGGGTGAGTTGAAAATGGCTGCAAATTGGTCTGCTCCACTTTCTATTTTCTCAATCAAATAACACAGAGCGATGCAGAATCCTCACATGGGGGGCTAGCACCACTTTCTTGGCTCCTTGCCTACCTATATTCTGTTTTGGACCCCACCCCATTTTTTTGTTTTAATATAAAAATAAATATCTAAATTACGTCTGAAAATACAATTTGGTACCTAATAATTTTTCATTAAAAATAAGTGTTTAAAGTTTTCAACGTTACGCTTCTACTTGTTTAGACCGTAACAACCGTTAAATTTGACCGTTATCTAATGTGTATTACGCATATAAAATTTAAATAATTATTTTATTTTAAAAATTTTATATTATAATTAGAAAACAAAAAAACTCAAATTTTACATTTTTCGTCGTTGATCGGATACCGTCGATCGTGGCTTTCACTGTTGACATCATCAGAATCTTTCACTGTCGTGATCAAAATCCAATCCTCCATCCACAATGAAACTGCGCTGATCATCGTGAAAAATGTCGCGAATGGTCGTCGGATTTTTAGGTT